TATATATATATATATATATAGAATAAAGAACTTATGTATGGCTTTTTCTGAACTTTTTAGAAAATAGGTTTTCATTAATTGGCCCAATTTATTATGAATACGGTTCGATGGTCATTATATATGAAGATGCGAATAAAGCGGTCAGAGCATTATATGCGTTGCGAGAGTCAAAATACGAAGACAAGCATCTTCTAGGTATTCACGACATATATTTTCATATAGCTTTTATATTTGATGACAAATTTTGGATGCACATATACATCGCTTATTAATTGATATAAAAAGAAAAGTTAGCTAGTATGATATAATTGCACGCACATATACATAAACACATTTAAAATCTTTTTTTATTTACTTGTTAGCTTTAATGAGATATATATTGGAGTATTTGCTCAATTTGGTTCTCTTTTCTTCTACCAGTAATGCTTTTACCGAGTATCGAGCCAAGTATGGTACCATCGGGTGTTCAACCGCTGCTCGTGTTTGTAAACGTAAAATCTGGCGGCTGTCAAGGGCTCCAGCTAATTTCTAGTTTTCGTAAACTATTAAATCCTTATCAAGTGTTTGATCTCGATAACGGCGGACCTCTCCCCGGGTAAGCGGATCGTAGCTTTAAAGATATGAATGCGAATAGTGTATCGATCCTCATTACACAATTTCACGAAAGTGATTGCTGGAAATAAACGCTTTCCTTATGTTGCAGGCTTTACGTTTTTCGCCACATAAAAGACTATAAGATATTAGTTTGCGGTGGTGATGGAACGATAGGCTGGGTATTACAATGTTTAGATAATGTGGGTCAAGATAGCGAGTGTTCTTCTCCCGCTTGCGCTATTGTACCTTTGGGAACGGGAAACGATCTTGCGCGTGTACTATGTTGGGGTTCAGGATACACGGGTGACGAGGATCCGTTAAACTTATTGCGAGACGTTATCGATGCGGAAGAAATAATATTGGATAGATGGACTGTAGTTTTTCATCCAGAAGAGAAAGAACAGACTCAAGTAGTTTGTAATGCTGCAGGTGAGAAATAAGACTTCTTTTTTTCAACATACCGGAAACAAACTTCATAATTTGAATGAGAAAAAAATGTCGCGTTATCGGCAAGTAGTGTCGTATTATGTTACAGGCGCTGGTTCAACAAGCGAAGACAATACGCAAATATATGTAATGAATAATTATTTTGGCATCGGCGTCGATGCGGATTTATGTCTTGACTTTCACAACGCGAGAGAGGAAAACCCTAATAAGTTCAAAAGCAGATTACGAAATAAAGGTGTATATGTAACTATGGGTTTACGTAAGATGGTCAGACGTAAGCCGTGCAAAGATTTGCATAAAGAAATTCGGTTAGAAGTAGATGGTAAATTGGTCGAATTACCGCAAGTGGAGGGAATAATTATTCTGAACATTTTAAGGTAATATTTACGGAATATCTTCTTTTTTTTTTTTTTTTTTTTTTTGCGCTAGTTTAAACGACACTTTTGTTTTCTCTTTACAATTTAGTTGGGGTTCTGGTGCTAATCCTTGGGGACCAGATACCAAAGAAGATCAATTTTATACACCAAATCACTGGGATGGTATGTTAGAGGTTGTCGGAGTTACAGGCGTTATGCACCTTGGACAAATACAATCGGGTCTACGTACGGCTATGAGAATAGCGCAGGTGAAATAAAATAATTAATTAATAATATAAAGATTTTACTTCCTCGCTCTTTCTATTTTTTATAGAATATGTTAATTTATTCTTATTCGTGTTGTTTTGTTTTAATTTCTAGGGCGGACACATAAAAATTCACTTAAACTCAGATATACCTGTACAAGTAGACGGCGAACCGTGGGTTCAGAGTCCCGGAGACATTGTAGTCTTGAAGTCAGCGCTCAAGGTAATATTTTGATGTGAGATCTTATAAAACCGCCCTCCTCCCCTCATAATTCTACAAAAATAACGAACAGAATGTAACGTATAATCATTTTTGATTGACTCAATGCGAGACATATCGGTATTAGTACACGCGGTAATCTTTCTATTCTTAAAATCAAAAGAATGAGTGATGTGATTGCATCTCTTACTCTGTTTGGATTTAAGTAGAATAATGGGGCATATATACGTTCTTGTGGCACGTACATTTTTTTCAACAGGAGCATCCGTATGTATTAGTTTGTAGTACCTTTTGTTTTACATTATATAATACTCTATGTATTTTCTCTGTAAAAGCGTAACCTCTGATTGCTGATACCTATCAGCGCATGCTTTCCTCCCCTAATTGCACTCGACTAATATCTCCTTGTTCCTTTGTTCACTTCAGGCTACCATGTTGAAGAAAAGTAAGATCAAGCGTCGCAATACCGAACCGTCGATTCTACCTGCTAATGGGGAGGGGGGCAAGAGCACGGACGAGTAATCCAACGATACCACAGCTCACAACCGCTCGAACGTTTAATCGAGTATTTCGTTGAAGATACGCGACATCTCTCAACCTAGATTCCTCGACGCGCGTAATCAGCGCGAGAGAGGAGTCTCGGTGTGACAAACCGTGCCGTCTATCTTTATAAAGCGATTCTACCTATAGAAAAAAAAAAAAAAAAAAAAAAAAAAAAAAAAAAAAACCGGGCCCCCCCCCTTGTT